ATATATATATATATATATACGTGTGTGTGTGTATGTATATATATGTGTGTGTGTCCGTCCAAAGGAAAAAATATAGAAGGTAATTTTAAAAAAAATGGTGTTAACTTGTACATAAAATTTAATTATACAAGCATTTATATAATATAATAATATTCAGTGGCAGACACAGTGTATCTACACTAGAATATACAACAGTATTTCTTATTTTGCTCCTTTTCCTTCTTTCTGCTCATTTTCCTGCTTGTGTAAGAAACATTTCTAATTTTCACACCAGTTCAAGTAAAAAAAAAACTCCTTTTCAGTTGGGGTTCTGTACTCGGCTCTTTCTTCCCCTTTTACTTCTCATCTTTAGTATTAAACTGATCGCCTCTTAAAGAGTATTTAAACACAAAAACCAGTCCCTAGATGTGGTGGCTGCATTAGTTTCCTTTTTAGTCCTTTATTTTGACCTGGTGATTCTGCCAATGATACATTTCCTGTCCTGGTGGGGACTCATTTGTACACCGTAATTGTCTTCAATGGCACCGCTTCCACACCCCCCTGCCTGCAGTGTGATGGAACGCGTGGCAAAAACGCCAAGTTTGAAGCGAGGTGGCAGCGGAGGGAGCAGAGCCACATAAGCCAATGTTTCCACTATAGCGCCGACTCCTGTCACAGGCGGAGTGATACCAAATGCACTCCGCCTGTGAGGAATCGATAGTGAAAGCGCACTTCGCTCATTCTGGCCAGCGATTGGTTACCAAATTGCTCTTGGAAAGGTACGGCACCCCTGATTACCCCTGATTGCACCTTATTCTTGACTTTGCCATTTTGGATTATATAATTTGGATTTGCATTAATTTTGGATTGTTGTACATTAAAAAAAAATAAGACCTACCCCGAAAATAAGGCCTAGTGTGTTTTTTTGAGCCAAAGAAAATATAAGACAGTGTCATACTTTCGGGGAAACACTGTACATAGTTTAGTCAGGTTAAATAAAGGTCCATTTAGTCAGGTTAAATAAAAGTCCATCACGTTCAACCTACAGAGAAGGAAAAAAAAAACACTTCCAAAAACAAGAACGCTATGCCCAAAGTAACCCACAGTTGATCCAGAGGAAGACCAAAAAAAACCCTATAAAGCATGGTTCAATTTGCTCCAACACGGGAAAAAAAATTGTTCCTGATCCCATAAAGACAATCTGATATTCCCTGACTCAACAATGGTGTTTTTTTTTACTTATAAAATCCTAATATCTAGCAATCTGTGCATCGAGGAATGCATCCAGATTTATTTATTTTTAAACAGTTAACTGACCTAGTTCCTGTGCAAGTCTTTTCCACGTTATCACAGCTCTTACTGTGAACAAGCCCTTCCATATGGAAAAGTTAATCCGCTTTTGCTCCAGACACAGAGTGCCCCGTTGACGTTTGCAGTGACCTTAAAGGGAATCATTTGGCACCATGGTCACCATGTGACTATGATCACCATTATTGGCTGTTGTGGTGATCATATGATTGGGGACCATGCTGATTGGTACCTGATTGTTAGTGTGAGATTTGGGACTGTCAAGAACTAGTTTTTGGCAGGGATGTTATTTAGCATTTCCACGGAAAGGGTGACTGTTTGTTTGAGAATGTTGAAGTTGAACCCTTTTAGCTCTAAAGCCCACCCCGGTCAAACTAATTAAAAAAAAATACCCCCACAATGCAGCTCTGACTGCAGTAGTCACCTCTTCTCTGGTGCTGTCCGCTCTCCCCCCGCAGTACTTCCTTTCTGCCACTAGATCTCCTCACTCATTCAGCTTGAATGATACCAGGTGTGATTCAACCCAGAAAAATCAGGACATCCTTGTGAGTGCTTCATAAACTTGCCTCCTGAAAGGGAATCAATGATGTCACCATCTATAGGGGAAGAGGACCCTGTATGCCACATCACCAGACTGAAGGCATCTGGAAAAGTAAGTATTAAGAAAAAACAATACAGCGAGGGGCCTCCAATGGAGAAGCACTTGGGGGGGGTTGGGAGGGATGAACCAGGATTTGGGCTTTTATACACCTTATGACGTTTCCCTTTTATAGTCTATGTAACACTAAAGGCTTTTGTAACATCTCATTTGCAGTGTGACGTGACCAGTACAAGAGTTGTCCGAAGAGAAGATGGAGAGTCCCTGGCAAAGGTTAGACGGTACATTCAGTGCAGTATAAAAATTTACTAACCTGTTCTGTGATTTAAACAACGCACTGTGTGTTTTTCTATGGTGCAGGAATATGGAATTCCCTTCATGGAGACTAGCGCTAAGACGGGTATAAATGTGGAACTGGCGTTCTTGGCTGTAGCAAGGTAAGTAATACCAAATTATAACGGGTCTAATACTATTTTAAAGGGTCATTCCACCCAAAAATGGGCAAGCTCTGGTGAGATCCTGGCTCCTCCTTGCACGCATGGGTGGAGCTGGGAACACCATGCAGAGGTCTCACTGCTGGAAATCTGAGTATAGGGTTAACTGATCCTATACACAGATCTTAGATTGCTTTAATCATTTTATTTTATATAGTTTTTCCTGCTGACTGACGATTCAAACTATTCTTTTGTGCTCTAGCATTTAATTACCTGAGGTCTGAGTCTGAGATGTGGCATCTTCATTGTTGGTTATTACTTCTTGTACCTCTATTCAGGGCTGTCCCTATATTATTTACCACCTGAGGCGATTTTTGTTCCCTGGGGGGTTTGAATTGGGTGCTGATAGGCAACAGTCACTGGTTCTCTTGTCGTTGGATAGGGGGGTGCATACAGATGCCGGACGGCTCTGTCAGCAGCTCTATCTGGTTACCCGCCATCAGCTCACTGATGCACTGGTTGCCAGTAGCTTGGCGGGACACAACCAGAACGTCCCGCTCAGCTCTAGGCAACTGCTGATGTCGGCGAGCTGGAGGGGATGCTAGGCAGAGGGTCAGAGGTTACAAAGTGCTCTTAGCAACCTGGGATGCCGTGGCTGCCAACCCTACTGCTGCCCCCCACCACCACTACCTGACCCCTCCCTCCCGAAATGAGATGCCACCTAAGGCAACTCAGGCTGCCTCATTATACCGATGGTCCTACCTCTAGTTGTAGGACATTTGTAGCTTATTTCTGCATTTGGAATCCATCTTTAAAGTAGAACTCCAGTCCATTTTTAAGTTTTGCATGCAGTTGAGAAGAGTTGGGAACCACTGTTATGCTTAAGAGTTTTCATATATTCATATGTCATGTTAGAGCAGTGAAAGATGTGTGAACATACAGCCCAGTTAAAAGCAAACATAAATACCTCAAAAGCTTAAATGATGAACAACCTATGGACCCAAAGCTTCTATTTTTAGCTAGGAATTATTGCAGTGCTCCAAATTGCACCCCTGCTGACAGTGACTGTATTAGAAGTAATCTGGTGTTGTGGGAAAACCACACCTTTCCACTGTGAATGTATAGCAAGGTATTTCCCACCTTGCCGCACAATTCTGTCCTGTAGGGGCAGGAGGTGCTTTGTTGGTGGGGATGTCACCTTCTAGAACCCCTCTCAGCTCCTGGTGCCTTACTCTGGCTCCCAAGACTTTATATATGTCCTGTTTTCCCCTACACCCCTTCAAGGAACTGACCTGCTCCTTTCTTGCTGCAGACGTTAAAGGCTACCTGGCATTCTCTTCTGTCACATTGGTGGTCGTACACCACCTACATCAATTAGGCTACATGCCTGCCCACGATCTACTCATGGAGGCCAGGGAAAGGAAGCTGGGTTACATCAACTCCACACCCATCATAAGGGGAATTAAATGAACTTACTCGCCCTGCTCAATTGCAATGTTTTTATTATTCTATCCTCCCTCGCCTTTCTATGATTAGTTACATTTCCTGCCAGCTGTGTCAGTGGCATTGATACTGTGCAATGTTACACAAATGCAGGAAATAATGGGAAAGCTTAAGATAAGTAGCCAGTAGTCCAGCCTGCAAAGTGTGGTTTTCAGGTTCAGGACCCTGTTCTCATTAAACAGGTGTCATCCACAAGGGTCCTTATGTATCCAAGTGTTTGAAATTAGACTTGTCTGTGTTCAAGGCCAGAATTGTATTTCCTGTCCCTTAGGTCAATTAGCTTCTGATGTCATTGTCCTACCACAGATGACCCTCTAGCTCTAAAATAACAAGTTCAGATGACATGCCCAGCCCCAGACGCAGCGAGGCTGTGGAGGCAGAGGTCAAATTAGATAGTTTGCCCACTCTGGGTTGGTGCTCCTAGAACTGACAAGTAGAAGAACAGACCTGTAGTGCCATGATAAAATGTCACCCTGTTCTTCTAGCAGCTTGGGTCTAGGTGTACAGACTAAGTCAGCAGATAGATTTGTTGGTTGCTAGGTGCTGCCCCTGGCTGCCCTGCCACTATAAGCTATGGCTTATGTTGGCTATGCACACATGTCACCCTGTCTTTGTTACATAAGATTTAAGTCTGTCCTGGAAAACCACCCATAGAACTTAAGAGGCAATGGTTGCTGCTGGGCAAAATTGGCAATTCTACTTTCAGACACTGGGGCCAACTGCGTTTTGACATTTTTCCATACAGCATATTAAAGTACATTGTATGGGCAAAAGTTTGTGGACCCCAGACTACCGCACCTGCTATTGGGTCAAAAGTAAGTGGACACTCCCTCTAAATAAGTTCAGATGTTTCCAGTCAAGAGTACTGTTAATGCTACAGCAGAGACATTCCAGATAATTGTGAGCTTCCTACTTTGTGAGAGCTTCCAATAGTTTGAGGAAGGTACTTTGTTACAGCATGACTATGCCCCTGTGCACAAAGCCAGCTCCATAAAGACATAGTTTGTTGGGTTTGGTGTGGAGGAACTTGAGTTCCCTGACCTGAACCCTACTTGAACACTTATGTATGAATTGAAATGCCAGTTGCAACCCAGGTCTTTCCATCCAACATCAGTACCTGACCTCAGAAATGCTCTCTTGTATGATTATTTCTTCACAAATGAATGGTGTTCTCACTGTTTGCTCTCTGGGTTCTGCACAGGGCGCTAAAGCAGAGATCCAGTCAGCAGGATGAGTCAAAATTCCAGATCCATCAATACATCCAATCACAGAAGAAGAAGAAAAGCAGCTGTTGTGGGCTCCTCTAATTGTTGTTTGGGCCATCGTTGAAACTTGTCATTGTTGGAAGAAGCCATGTTGGAGTCAACTCTGTTCTTTGGAACAGGATCCACCTTTAGCCATAGGTGGAACAAACTGATTATTTCAAACTGCCAATACTTGGAAGATGTCACAATGGTGGCCCCACCAATTGGATTTTACTCAGGACGTTTTAGGACCTCCTTGCCACTTATTACTATTATTATTTTTTATGTGTGCTTGAAAAAACATGATGTATTTTATGTGGTAGGATCCATCTATGAAAGGGTCAGTCCATGCATCACTGGCATTTCAGTTCTGGAAAAATGCTAGACAAATTTCTTAGAGTCCCTTTCATATATCTCAGGAGCTCTTTTTATGGAGTATCATTCTTCCTGTTGCACTGATATAATTATATTCAAACAACATTCACCAATAACTGAAATAACAGCGTTGGTGGGATTGACTCTTCACAATACCAATAGAGAGTACATGCCAGTCTTCTGATTTTACAGGGTAGGGAGTATTGAGTCAAATTATCTGGGGTCATTGCTGTTCGAGAAAATGTTTCTCTGCTAAGTTAAAAATATTAATTTGGTAGCTCATTGTTCTTCCATTGTGCGCGTTGTCCCGTACAGCTTGGAAGGCTATTAATGTGCTCATGGATGGTGAAACATTTGAAGAATCTGGTCACTTGCTAATGGCCAGGTTAACTCATTAGGTGACATTGGGGCCCGAGTCAACTGGCTTTGGGCCATGCCAATGTCAAGTCAATTTGTGTGTAAAAACAGCTTGTAGCGGGTTGATGCAACTTAGTAGGTCAAATGCAAGTGAGAAGGAGAGTCACCTGTGCCTGTGAATGAACTTTGAATATCAAAGCTTCTCATGATGATTTCAAATGCACCCGAGTTTAAGCTGTATCTACCCATCACACCAACACGTGTCCTTATACTGATCTCTCATTAGATTTAAGCTGGGACAGTTTGTAGCACCCACTTAAAATTGCTCCTTTTTCCGAGAACAAGAGAATTTTATTACTTTGGCTTCAACACAGAGGCATAGATGGGGTGAAAGGATAGCTGAGCTCCATTTTTAAAGTTCTTTTATATAAACCCTTTCTTTACTGTCCAGAAACATTTCAGATGACCTACTGAACAGTCTTTATTTTAATCTATTGCCCTTTGCAAGGAATTGGAAAAAATTCCATATGAAAGGTTGCTATAGGCCCCCTGCAGTGACCATCTTGCTGTCGGTCCGCCTCTATTTTGCTCCTCTCCTAGTTCTTGGAAGCTTTTTCCTGGAGAGTTGGTGATGGTGATGGCAACATTTAGTCAACGGTGGTAAAGGAGGACTCTCACATGAATGCCTGTCCTCCAATGTTCACCACCGTTGATCTGTGATCTGGAAACATGATACTAGACTTGGCAGCTTTACACGGGACCGTTACTGAGAAAGTGGGCAAATGAATATGGAGTTCAGGGGTCAGTCTGTCCAATTTCTGGAGCCAGCTCCATTGACCACAACTACAAAAAACCTCAAAGGTTAGGAGCCAGCTGTCAATTTTAAAGAGCATTGGCACCATGGCTACTGGGATTTGTGCAGCCCTGAAGTACTGTAGCCAGTGGGTCAATATAACAACCAGACACTTTGCATTTCAGAAGGAGGTCAGAAAGGGCAGCCCCCAAATTACTTTATGACTGCTTTACTTTAAAATTCTAGCCATTTGTAATGTTCCTTCTACCATTTAATATGTCATCTTCCAGCTTTACTATATTTGCCAGAATATCTCACAATGGCCTACTGAATACAAAGCAAAACCTTCAAAAGAAAACTGCTTGGCGTACCTTAAGAAAACGCAAACTGTGGCCAGATTCCTATCTCAAAAATAAAATCTTTCTTTTTTTTGTTAAGTGTTTTTAGGGGGAAAAAGTGGAGTTTTAGCCATAATGTGTAGTATGCACAGCATGTTAGCACATTATTACAGACGTAGTTGCCCAACCGATTCCCCTCCAGCGCTGCTCTCCTTCCTTTGGGCCTTCTTCTTGGTATTGAGTCTCAGGCCCTTTGATTGCCTGAGCCCTGAAGCCATGGGCATGCGCGTGGGACTGACTTCATCTTGGCATGCTGGGTCTGTGCGCTGCGCATGCGTGGCTCAGTGTGCAGGAAAATAAAATTGCTGAATGGCCTTAAGAAGCTTTTCTTGCAAAAGAGACTTAAGGTGCCCATACACCTTGCGATGATCGTACGATAATCGCAAGGTGTATGGAAGGTGTGCGACCGTTTTTACTGTACGGTCGCACGCCTTTTGTCGAACCAGCATGCTAGAAACCCCGCCGGGAATCGTATGATTGTCGGCGGGTTTCTAGCCTGCTTGTTCGACAACTGCCGAACGGGCCGGTGTGCGCACGCGCACACTGCCTGTTCAGCATTGCGTACATCGGAAGTGGGCAGTCTTTCGATGGTCGCAAGTACGATCTGCATGTCCAAGATGGGCAGATCGTACTAGCTTGTAATAAGCATACGACCATCGCAAGACAAAGGTCGTTTGGCTGTCTAAAGGTGCCCATACACCTATCGTAATTTTTTTTTTATTCATGCCTTCCACTTTAATGGGCATAAAGAGACAAATTAGGTATTCATGGAGGAATAGGAAATGAGGACTAAATAAAGGGAAATGGTTACTTAGGTGAGAAGTGCTGACTCTATTTTTACCAATACTGTATATATCAATGACTTCCCCATACTGCTTTCTGGTTGGGGATGAGTTGAATGCAGTGTTGTAAGTTGGCTCTGCCACCCCGAGACATATAGTAAGATGCCAATTACCCGGTCTCTGCTGTCTTCCATTCTAGCTGCTGAATGGGAAAGTTCACTTGTATTTAATCCCTGCACCGAATAAGAACTTTGGCTTGCCTTTAGGGACCAACAAAACCACACCGCACCCTTCCTGTTGTGAGAAATCATTTGTTAGGAGTCAAATTTGGCAAAATACATTAGAACATATCCTAGGTAGCATCAAATTGATGGATCAGTAATGTATTTCAAAAAGTGACGGATACTTCCGGAGATCTCATCATCATCATACAACTGTGCCAAAAACCACATTGGACTAAGTTTTAACTGTTGCGTGTGTGTGTGTGTGCCTGGTATTCTGTATGTGTGTACCCCCCAATGCCCTTTTCTATTATACCTGTTTTGTATATGTTGTTGATATGCTGCACATAGCGATGCTTTGTTTACATTTCGTAGCGATTTTAGCTTCTGTACTTTTTTTGGCTTCACCTTGCTTATCTGTGAGTTACTGGAGACATTCCTACACTGAGTGATCCTTCAAGAACTATTGGGATGTTGTATTGTACATGGATACTATATGTGTGTGGGAAGCTAATAAGAGTACAGTAAAGTTATTTTTTTAGACATGTCTGAACATAATTATAAATACACAGTTGGGCGTATTTGAAAACAAGATGAGCAGTGATATGTATTGATATGTATTAATCTCTAATGTGTATGGAGCAATCAGAACACAACAATTGCTGGCTGGTTGCTTTCTGTTTATAAACTCTGCACATTGATTGCTCTTTGCCTTACTAAATAAAAGCCGCACTATGTGTTGTTGTTTTTTTGTGTGTGTTGCTTTTATTTTTAATTTAAATTTTTAAAAAATGATTTCTTTAATATTACTAAACGACATCTCCAGTATAGGCACCAAGAACTGGTAAACATTTCTGAGGGCTGGTGTGACTGTGTTGCCATTGACGTCAATGCACGGCCATGCCCCCTTCCGCCCCTGAATGGAGGGAGGCGGCTGGGTTGCAATACAGTGCGTTGCAGAGGCTGATTGCCTGTGGTGTGAACCGGCCCTAGTAGGTTTGTGTTGCCTTCTTTTAGCTAGATTTATCCCATTTCCTGTCCAAGTGATGGATTCTGTATGCAGGAAGTGAGGGGACATTTCTCCAGGGGGGACACAGCAATAGAAATCTTACAAAGGGTCAAACCTTTCTGTGCTGCAATTGACAGTAAGGCCCCATTCAGACCAGTGTGTAGCATGTTACTTATATGCATGGCACTTTGTCCAAGGCATTGTAGATTCATTCATTTAAAATGGCACCACAATACACAAGTACAGTGGCTGCTGACTGGCCCTCACTGCACTGCACAACACTATGATGTGCGTTGTGGTTTGTTGACCGAAATATACAATTCTGGTTTCTCTTCCCTTTGCAAGTTCACCAAACAATGTGTGATGAATGTAAAACTTCTGCTTTAATATATAAAATATATATATTTATATTTGGTATTCAGAAAGTATTTAGACCCCCGTCACGTTTTTTGTTATGTTGCAGCCTGATACTACAGTTGTTTAAATTCTTTTTTCTCTCCCGTTCATTGAAGGACACAGGCGACAGATCGTAGATCCTGAATGGTAGGGTAATATCGCCACCTGCAGGAGAAGGACGCTAGGCACAAAACTAAAGACCAATTACAGCCTAGGGGCGGCCCCTGCCGGTGGCCAAACCCCCCACCTGCTGACAAGTCTCCAGTTTTTTGCCTAGCGTCAGGAGTAAGGAGCTAAAAAAATTTCTCTG